TGGAAAAGTATGATCAAAAGTATTGTTATGCACTATATTAACATTTATTTACAGATTCGGACTTGGAAATAATTATAACCAAATAGGATTTCATACTGCTTTGTCCAAATATACAACTGTGTCAAAAATGGCGACTGGCGTTATCAATGTAGTTGAAGGTTGAACGATCACTTCACGGTTGTTTGCTCAAACCCAACTCCTCCACATTTTTCGCGGAGTCATCAATACGCCTGTCATCGTTTCATCGTTCGCTGTTCAGTGAAAGACAGAGAAAAACTATCAGAAGTATTATAGTGATTTATTGTTATAACACTTATTCTTAGACCTTGTGTGTAATAACCTTATTGTTGGTTACACATCGGCGTAAGAATAAAGGATTCTCGTGTCGCCAATCTGTGTTATGGTTTTTCGCGTTGGTCATTACAAATTGTTTCTGAAAGTCTTGGAGGGACAGCGTGAGGTCCAGCGCAGTGAGAGCTGGACATCGACAGTTTCTGATAGATCCTGTTCGGCTTTAATGGTGTCTGCAAGTCTTCTTGGAACAAGTGTTATCTGGAACATTTCTGGAATTTTTGGTCAAGTTCAGTAATGATTGGATCAAAGAAAGGACAAAGTAACTTCGAAACAGATAGGTTGCTAGGTAATGCTGAGTTACTTGTTAATTGTAAAGATATGTATGATGTTCAGCATTATGAGTCTGTTCTTCATGGTTCGACGTAAAGGGATAGCAAGGGTTTAAAACTATATAAATTCGAGCCTCGGTACTTTGATGGAAACCCAATCGACTATCCACAGTTTATCAAAGAGTTTGAGATCATGCTGAGTGGTCTTCTATTAAATGGTGAAATGAAGTTGATGTATTAGTTGAGGTATTGCACTGCAGTTGCTCCAAAAGCTATGAATGGATGTTAGTAAATGGAGCTAAATGAAGGACATAAGGAGCCGATGCGTATACTAAGGAAAAGAATCGCAAGACATTCGAAGATTGTAAAAGATGTATTCGACGATGTTAAAAGTAATGCCTGTCAGTTGTAAGACGACTCCAAGGCACTTACTGAGTTTTTGGACAATCTGATGACTCATAAGAATACGTTGATTTCGATGAATTGCATCAGTGATTTGAACTCAAGCTCAGTCCTAGAGGTAATAGCGAGACGCCTACCTACTCGACTGCAAAGGAAGTGGGTGAAGATAAGCTCTCGTACGGAGGATGAAGGTACCGAGCCAAAAGTCCGATGATATTCTGAAACTGGCAAACGATAGTGTCAATCAATCGATGAGCAAGTTTGCCAGCATATTGCATCCCACCCCCAGAATAGAGAAGTATGAGGGCAAAACGCAATCATTTATGACGAGTAGGTCTCAGAGAGGTGGATATCGAGAAAGCTCTATGGTGTCTAGTAATACATATAACTTAGTGAGTGTAAACGCCTTCGTGGGACATCGTCAACAGATAGGTTACAAGTTGCAAGACAATAACAAAACTTATCATTGTGTGTAAACTATTCAAATATAATTATACTTTATTTAATCTAATCCACAATGCTCAAACTTTTTACTGATATTAAAACACGGTAGTGTTTTACACCTTTGCAAGAAGTGCATACAAAGGCGAACTGTGAATCAGTGAGCAAGTTTAGTGATAAGCTAAATGTAAAATCAGCATCAACAAGGTGTGACTACAAATTGTGTTGCGATAATGTTGCGGTGAAGAAGCCTGTAGTTGCAGCCAGTAAGCCATTGTTGAATAGAATGCCACAGAAGAGAGTTACAGTTTCAGAGTCCAGTTCAGACTCCACAAGTTTTCAAGGTATTACTAGTCAGAGTGAAGGTATGAAACCTTCATTGATTTGTGAGGAGGAACCAAAATTGTCTACTGCTGTTAACAAAGAGTTTTAAAGAGCTGAATTCGATCATAGAAACGGCGGTAAATAAGATATTTGTGATAATTGTCGTAATAGGGAATATTTGTTTTTGGCTGATCATGATTAGATGAGCGGAATGCCTATATGTACTGAGTTGAAGAAAGGTTCTGTACAACTTGAACAAGGAGTAGAATTAGGAGTAAATGCGGAGGTAAAAGGTATGGACACTCGTGAGACCGTCAGTGTAATTGATCAGCGTGTAGCCCACCTATCAACAGATGATAATACTGAACTGCAGCTAACCGTAAAAGATGGCGGTGGCAGTAATCCTACGGTTAGAAAATACTCTAAAGGTCGAAAAGCGATAGCTTCTGATGCACCGCTAACTTCAGAAAGTGGTATCAATCAGTCGTCGTTGGCGTTGCCATCCATATCGAATCTGACGTCCATAAATTCATGTGACGTGTGCTACGCAAATTCCAGTACAGGTCCCTTTGAAAAGACAAGTGTCATAGTCAGCTTAAACAGGATAAGCCAAGTGTGTACAAGAGAATAATAATAGTATATTCTCATTTTGTACATGAGAGACGCCAGTTGACAGGCATCATCAATATGATAAATTACATATACGATTAGCAATCATAATTAATAATAATGTTTTAATAAAATACACATTATTTCCTACTTGTGTAGGACACACCAAATATACAGGCATGGGTAAGCATTATATAAATTTCATAAATTTGGTTTGTGGTTAAGTTACATGGCTGCTGGCGTTTTTATCTTAGGTCTGTGGGAACAATATGATAACCAGTCATTCAATGGAGCACGTCATGAAATATAGGAATATTGTCTTCGCATTAACAAAAAAACCCAAGTATGTTTTGGATGGATTAAAAATACTTGGGAAAAAATAAAGCTTGAAGTTATTCCACAATATAACTTGGGTGTGTACAAATCCGAATCTTAGTTTTGATTTGATTTATATCCAAATTGAGTAATAAGGAAGCTAATCGTGACGTTGTATTACAAATAGATACTTTTCCATTGGTATAAGAGTATATTCCACAAATGTAATCCAGGTTGCGTCGTGGAGAAAGTTAATTCGTTATTAACCAGGCAACTGAAAGATACGGGACCAATAATGTTTGCAGATCATTTGTCATTGTAAATGGTCAAATATCCACATTATTCATTCTCATTCAAAAAGTCAAATGGAAGCTGAAATGGTGAGAGAAAAAAAAGACAAACAACAGCAACGCAAAAGAAAGCAACGGGAGTCCTTAAGGAGTGATTAATAAATATATACATATATATTCTGTTTAGTAACTATGGTTATTTTTGTTCACAAACTAACTAGTCCCGTTATGCTAACTTTTATATTATGTGTAAACTAATATTACTGTCCTGTGTAGAAATGTTAATCATCTAGTTCCAATAATATTAAAATTTATAATTGTAGTTTGTTGTAACTACACGTTTAAAGAACTTAAAATATCTATGTAGGGTGAAAAAGAAGGTGTAAGAGTCAGGCGCAAAAGTGCATTGTCATCTTTGAGTAGTCTGGTGACTGAGGAGATGAACACTGGAAGTGTGTTTGCATCGCGCACATTAGCTGGTAGTCTATTCCAAATGACTGAAAACTTATTTAAGAAGAAGTTGTACCGCACGTAAGTCTGACAGTGCTCCATAGCAGCTAGGTTGTGATGATTTCTAAGATTGTAACTGATGACAGCGGTAGGTTTAGTTATTGGCTCGGAGGAATGCAAGAGAAGATTAGTTAGCTTGTAGTAAAAGATAAGGTTTAGCTTAAGGCGTCTTTTCCAGAGGGGTTCTAATCTTAGTCTTTCGCATCGCTCATGGTATTCCAGACCACTTTCTAAACCAAGAGTTCTTGAGGTAAACTGCCGTTGCACTCCCTCTAATTTAAGCTTGTCATTTTGTCTTAGTCCGCTAAGAATAAACGGGCAGTATTCTAAGATAGGTCGGACACATACTTTGTATAATAAAACCCTAGTTTCACAACAAAAGAAATTGCGTGTTATGCATCCTATCAGCCTTCGCGTTTTACGTCTGGCATAATCAGTCTGTTCAGCGAACGTTAGGTTACTAGAGTATCTAATACCGAGATCTACGACTGAGTTGAGCTTAGCTAGTTTTCGCCCATTTATTTCAAGAGTTAGATCAAGCTTACTGTTGCCGATACAAATCCAGCCGCATTTGTCAATGTTAAAATTTAGACAGGATTCAGCACACCACGTTGCAAGGCTACTTAGTTCAAGATGTATTTTAGTAACCATATCGCTTAATTCATGAGTGTAGCAGGAGTAGACGACTTTGAGGTCGTCAGCATATAGGAATGGTTTGCCTAAGGTGAAGCACTTGCAAATGCTGTTAATGTAGACTGTGAATAAAAGTGGACCTAGGACACTACCTTGCACGACCCCACTTGAGATCTGCCTAGGATGAGACAATACAGATCCAACTTTGGTTATTTGTACCCTGTTGCTTAGAAATGATTTTAACCAGTTCAGTAATGGGTTGCGAATTCCACAAGAGTACAGCTTCTCAAAGAGAATACTGTGAGATACCATGTCAAATGCCCTAGATATATCGAAGTAGAGAACAACGACTAGCTTACGTGCTTCGCGACTACTAGTGATGCAGTTGAAAAAGTCGAAGTGGCAAGTAACGCAGGATCTATTTTTGAGAAATCCGTGTTGAGACCTTGTAACAAGATCTTCCCTAATTAGGTAGTCTGACAATTGATCTTTTACAACTTTCTCCATGATTCGTGAGATAACTGGGGTTATATTTATGGGTCTGTAATTGCGGACGTTTGCCCTATCACCAGATTTGTAATGTGGAATTATGAAGCTAGTTTTCCACTCACTAGGGTAAGTGCCAGTGTCCATAGATATTGAGAAGAATTTAAGAAGTAACAAGGGTATATCACACCCACTGTTTTTGAAAATTATCGAAGCGAGGCCATCCGGTCCCGTACTAGTGGAAGGTTTAAGGCTTTTAATTGCTTGTACTATTAATTGATTAGTGAACACAATGCTTTCAACGGAAGAGATAGTAAGGGTGTAACAACAGAAGACAAGGGCCAGGCAACAGATCGTTTTATTATGAAAATCAACACGTATTTATACATATTTCAGACAACATTATTATAGACAAGCGCAGTCATCTGATTGGTTGTTTAGGTAGACAAACGCAGGCTTCTGATTGGTTGTTTCGGGATTCCTTGACAAACAGAGTTCTCTATCTGCGAATCATATTTTGCCACGTTAACTTTGCTGTGATTGGTTGTTGACTCAGCCTTGTTCACGGCCCATATTAGTGACCTAGACCTTAACGTAGATTAGTGCCAACCAATCGGCTAGCAGCCTGCTCTCACCACACTCGTCCCCCCGTCAAATACGTGCGACTGAAGTCGGCTTGATCTACTTGGTGCAGGCGTCATCGTTGGCTTGTCTCGCTGTATCCATTTCTGGAGCTCGCTGACGTTCACGCGCCTCTCATTGTTCGCCATTGCGACTGTGTCTGCGTAACCCCATCTCGAAGTGACCATATATGGTCCTTCCCACTTTGGAAACTGTTTGCCTGACCCTGTCGAACATTCGTCCATACTTCGGCTCACACTTTCATATGCTGCTTTCACCCGACCTCCCAGCAGCGTCTCAAGTAGCAGCTCCATCGCTGACAGATCTTGAACGCCACTCAACTGCGCAGAAGCCTTGAAGTCCTGCCCGAAGATCCATATGTCTCCATCAAAAACTGCAGGGTATAGGCTTTTCATTTGTCGGTAGGCAGCGACACCAAATGTAACAACAGAAGACAAGGGCCAGGCAACAGATCGTTTTATTATGAAAATCAACACGTATTTATACATATTTCAGACAACATTATTATAGACAAGCGCAGTCATCTGATTGGTTGTTTAGGTAGACAAACGCAGGCTTCTGATTGGTTGTTTCGGGATTCCTTGACAAACAGAGTTCTCTATCTGCGAATCATATTTTGCCACGTTAACCTTGCTGTGATTGGTTGTTGACTCAGCCTTGTTCACGGCCCATATTAGTGACCTAGACCTTAACGTAGATTAGTGCCAACCAATCGGCTAGCAGCCTGCTCTCACCACAAGGGGAGCGGTTTCACCAGGCGTATGTGTTTCTAAGCTAAAGTTTGCAAACCAATCACTGAAGAGTTCACAGATAGTGGCAGGTTCATTGTAGATTACTTTGTCGTGAAGTAAGTAGGGGATTTCCCTCGCCGACTGCATTCGTTTTTTAAGAAGTGCCGTTAAGTTATAAACTTTGGAGGTAATTTCAAGTGCCGTTAACTCTTCATCGAGGTCCTTTTGAGAGCGTAGGCGCTTGAGAGATTCAAGAGACTCGTGGATTGAGAGCAGTAGTGATATGTCCTTAGTGGAATAGTACTGTTTCTTCAGCTTCCTTAACTTATTAATAATAATAATAATAATAATTTATTTTCATATAAACATAAATTTACATGAAAATGCATGCCATTTTTACAGGCACGATCAAGTATGATATAATGTCAAATCTTAAATTGTCTACAAGTTTATAATTTTTCAACAGTTAAATATTTGATATATATATAAATACACATTGTCTGAACTAGGCTGTATAGTTATTGAATTGTACAGTTGTCCTCTAGGTTTCGCGGGAAAATCGACTTCGTTTCGTTTTCATCCCGTGGTTGTCGGCATCCGATAACCAACCAATATTGAGGTAAGTACAACGTTTACAAGGGATTGGAAGCTGTTTTAGAAAAATTAAAGTGCTGTGGTGAAACATTAAAGTGTAATAGATTAAGTGAGTGAAATATATCATTAATAAACACATTTATATAGAAAACAGAATGGGGAAGTAATTAATCCTTAGGCCGACAACGTTCATTTGCAATGTATAATGAAAGCAATATATTTTATACTATCATGATGTCGACTTTTGGCTTTAATACAATTATTTTCAAGCCAGTTGTTTTTATTTCATGTCTTTTTTTCTATTTGGTGCACAACCGTACCCTCCAGAGAATAGGAATAGAATAAGTCGAATCAAATTCATAAAGAGCTATAAAATGTTAGGTTTAATGGAATATAATGAGAATCAAGTAAAGACGTTATTAGAAAATAAGTGAGACAAGATATTGTGAAGTGGTATTTAAAGATCTGACAATGGATAGCAAGTTAATTTATAAGATGCCCCATAAATCTGTGCAGATCCCACGTGGTCGCATCTCAACAATAGGCTGAGCGAATGGTATATATTTAAAGGTAGAAGCATGATCTGTTTAGGCGTTCACTATTATCTTTTTCAAGATAAAGATCTAAGCCCTCATAAAAATCAGAAATATCTCGAGCCTTTAATTTGTATATTGCTGTTCCTGCAGAATGGGGCGATTCACCTTAGTGACCACCACCATATCTACGGTGTGCCCTTGGAATATATTCAGCTCGGTGTCTACTTAATTTCACTATTTTCTTTGGAGCAACTGTATCTAGACAAAGGGTAACATTCCTGTAAAATAGGGTTACCACGGCATCCAGGGAGTCAGTGGTAAAATAGTCATCCCAGTGACAGAGTCGAATAAGCTCTTGGCCTAATCCCCAGTCTGTATATTTGTAACTACGACATATTGTGCTTCCTGAATCTTGTTTGTTTCCTGTATTTAGTGGTGAGAAAGGCAGAGAGCAGAGTACCATTCTATGGTCACTACTGGAAAATCGATTACCAACATACGTGGATACTGGGATTGTGTCATGACAAAAAACAAGGTCCAACATGTTGTCACCATGAGTAGGTGTCTGGACGTGTTGTTGCCATCCATAACAGTCTATAGTGGCAAGTAATTCATCGAAGCGTTGGGGGCCGGGACTAGTTAGCCAATTGACTTCTGGAAGATTGAAGTCCCCTGCAATTATTTTGTAATTAGCACTAAACAAGGAGGCGTGTGCAAACGATTTAGCTAATAACGCATCAGTTTCTTTTGTTGCGCTTGGTGCTCGATAAACACAGCCTATGAGAAGTTTGTACTTATCTCCATGTAAGACAACCCAGAGTGAGTCAGGTACATTATTCATTGTTTCATCTTCCACCCTACTGACTACAAATGAGCTATGTATATATATGAGACATCCTCCACCGCGCTTGCAATCTCTGTTTGCACGGTGTACAGTGTAATCATCGATACCTATATGCACATCAAGAACAGAGGATGAGCACCATGACTCAGTAATCAGAGCTACAGTCGGCTTGGCGACTAATAATAATGTCCTTAGTTCAGATATCTTATTGATTAAGGAACGTGCATTAATTAGCAATATCGTGAATAAGTCACGGGATACTACAAACTGTCTTAAAATGTCACCATAGCCTAAATCTATTTGTGCGTCAGCACCGCAAGAATTTATGAATGAAAAGGAGGTCGGACTGGGTGTCTGCACATCGGAGTTGGTGTGCAATGAGGTGGTCCTAGGTGCCATGGGTCGTACCAGTGATTCGGGACACCTGGAAAATTTACCATGTGTTCCTGGATATAAGGGCAGTAGGGGTTGGGCCTAATTTGACGGTTAAAAGCCATAGCATCAAAAGGTCTACCCATCCAACTGCTATTCGTCATACCGGTACACACCTTCGGGTTGTTTTTATAACTTAAAGGGAATTGTAAAGGAAGGTGCTTTGGCTGCAAGACTTTAGGAGTCTTGGAGCCTTACTTTCTATAAGGTGGAGCATGCGGAACACCTCCAGATATACTTATGTTTCGAGAGGAGTTTTTCGTAACGAGTGATGGTTTGTTGGCATTCTTACTCTCAGCAGGCTTATTGAATACAAAGTATTCTTCCCCATCATTAGTCTCAACCCTGCGAAATTTGTTCATCGTGGTGAGGTTACTACGTTTGGGGGGAAATTTCTTAGAACAACTTGCAGAAGTTCTAGCCATTTTAACATCTTTCGATGAGGCTTTATTTATAGGGGTACTGGTATATAAATCAGTTCCTAGTTCCATTGGCAAGCGTGTTTGTTGTGTAGTTTGCTGAATGCTAGTTTCAGCACTAGGTGTCTGTTGCTGTGCACGATCCTTTTTTGGTAAATCAAAGATAGAGGAGGTGACCAGGTTATTACTACGCATTATTCTGCGCCGACATGGTGTTTTATCCTGAGCCACGGTTATAGTCTGATAAATGCTATTCAGTGTTAAGTGATCCTGACATTTAGTAAACTTACTAGCATTAAGGGAATTACTCAATTTAAAAAGGATGGGACAATAAGCATGGTTAGACTTTTCACGAAGCCTTTTGGATTCACATGGAACATTAGCCATGCCGCAACAAATCAGGATTTTGTGTTTTACAGATTTCAGGGGCAGAGAATCTGAGAATTTGTAAACTATAGCTTGGTGAGAAGAGGTAATACGCTTCATCAACTCCGTAGCCAAGCAGTCAATCAGATTTTCAGCTTTATTTAGAGTGTAGACGACTGAGGCTTGCATACGTCACCGTTACTAGAACTGAGGCAGAATGAGTGACAAGTGATCGCAGTGGTAATTGGTAGTGAGTAGATAAGAGGATGTGTGAAGAGTATCATGAGGTTTTGCTATGGTCACGTTGCGTTCTGCAAGAGTCATTCCAGCAAGTAGCGATTGGGTTGCAAGATGTCAAGAGGACACCTTTAAATGGAAGGCGCAGGTCGTCATTGATGGGTGAGATTGTGCTGTGAGTATGCTGGTGGTGTGTTGGCTTTTCTGTTTGTTTTCGATTTCAGCTTTGTCCGTGTGACCCAGGTTCTCGCAACGGCATCCAAGTCAACGTGTATTGGTCGTGATGGAGAGAAGGGATGGATCCCTATTTTGCCGAGGAGTGTCAATGTAGTTGAAGATTGAACGATCAATTCATGGTTGTTTGCTCAAACCCAACTCCTCCATATTTTTCGCGGAGGCATCAATACGACAGTCATCGTCTCATCGGTCACTGTCCAGAAAGGAGTCAGGAGACAACCGTCAGAAGTAATATTGTGATTCATTATTGTAATATTTGTTCATAGGCCTTAGTTTATTATGCTCTTTATATGTTGGTGTTAGAATAAAGAATCCTCGAGTCGCAAATCGGTGTTTTGGTTTTTTCGTCCGTTATTACTAAGCGTTTCTGAGAAACTTCAAGGAACAGCGTGAGCCCGAGAGCAGCAAGAGCTGGGCATTAACGGTTTACGAGATGTGACTGACACGGTGTTTCGACAGATCCAAGCAGAATATTTACAGTTTGTAAAGGGGTTAGAGACCATGGTGAGTGGTTTTTATTAGATGATGAAATGAAGTTGATGTATTTGTTGAGGTTTTGCACTGCAGTTGCTTCAAGAGCTATACAGTGCTGTGAGTGGATACCCTCTGAAGAAGGATATTCAGAAACTAGGAGCCTGCTGCTTCAAGAGATTGCAAGAATTTTAATCATTGTTAGGAACGTATTTCAGGGTGCCAAATGTGATAGTAGTCAACTCCAAAATGACTCCAAGGCACTTACTGAGTTTTTGGACAATCTGATGACTCATAAGAATACGTTGATTTCGATGAATTGCATCAGTGATTTGAACTCAAGCTCAGTCCTAGAGGTAATAGCGAGACGCCTACCTACTCGACTGCAAAGGAAGTGGGTGAAGATAAGCTCTCGTACGGAGGATGAAGGTACCGAGCCAAAAGTCCGATGATATTCTGAAACTGGCAAACGATAGTGTCAATCAATCGATGAGCAAGTTTGCCAGCATATTGCATCCCACCCCCAGAATAGAGAAGTATGAGGGCAAAACGCAATCATTTATGACGAGTAGGTCTCAGAGAGGTGGATATC